AGAGAGGCTGCAGCTGTTTCACTATGATGTCACTGAACAGGTGTGTAGTTCCATACCACACCACAGAAACCGGATGGATCTCCTGGGGATGCCCACAAGAAGCCCGTACGGAACTGGCATTGACATGGGACTCGTTTCCTCAGATGTGGCCAGAAAACAGCCTGGGATGACAAGAGTCCTGATGACCAATCTGAGCAAATTCGGAGCAGACATTCTCCCAAACAGATCAATACTATCCAAGGTGCAGCTGAAAAACAGGATGGGTTTGTACCACTGAGCAAACACCAAAGCTGCTTATTCACAAGGCCAAAAGCAACTGGAACTTGTGTTTTCCACAGTGTTTGCCAGTGACCTCAACATTGACCTGCAGGGCCACCCTATCCAGAATGAGAAGTAATCTTGTGTTGGGTCTTCTGGTCACAAGGGAAGACTCTAAAATGGTCCCACTTATAACAAAGACAGTTACTGTATCTGTTTTGGCCTAGCCAGACAATTACATGATGATTCATCAATGCGGTTAACAAAGTGGGTGCTGCTCTGAATATTTGATATGACACATAAACAAATAATAAATATATAAATAAATATGTAAATAAATAGATAGCTAAATAAAGTAGAGATGGATGGCCAGATATGGTGGTACAAACCTATCCTCCCAGCACTTAGAAAGTGGAGGCAGTACTTCAAAGTCGTAGCAAGTTTGAGGCCAATTTAGGCTGCATTGAGGCAAGGCAAACAAACAAACAGATTACCTTGCTCCCAGTCATTTTGGAATTCTGTGGGTACATCTTGGATTAAATTAATTTAGATAGTTTTATGGCATTTAATGTATGTGGATAAATCAAATACTTTTATCCAAATAAATATGCTTTTAACGCCCTCAAATTGTATGTTTTCTAGTTTCCATTTAGTCTCACCAACAACATCCCTCCCCAAAAAAAGTAGCATTTGTACATACTGGTATGAGCTAGATTGTGTGTGCTTACATAAATGAATATTTAAATCTAATAAGCTCCTGCAAGGAATATCGGTGGTTTCACTGTTTAATGTTATCTTTAAAGGGGGGGGGGGAATTATAGTCCTTAAAGCAATATTTCTAAAAAGAGCTGAGAAAGTAATGAAATTAGAAGCGGTCCTTATGTTGTGACAAAACTTTCCATGGGAGATGCAACACACACATCTACTCACTCCAGACAGAGATCCCATGACAGAACAAAGTACAGACGCCATCAAAGTCCAACCTAGTGAATCAATGAATGTTATTGGGGTTACTTACAGGAGTATGGGTGAGGAGCACCAATGACCCCAAAACAGCTGCATCACCATGGCCTGTCCCAGCACGGGTGACAGTTCACAAAAGCTGGAGATCCTGGAGCACACTGCACAGCCTGGTGGCGGATCAACAGGTTTGAGAGTGTTTTTTCCAGGTGATTCTGATCTAAACCTCTTTCAGGCAGTGTGGCTGGTTTCTGCTACTTCCAGGAAGTTGATCTCTTTGCTCGTTGTCTTCCTTTAGGCCCTAACCTTTCATTGTTAACTGGGGCAGAGGAGCCTAGCGAATCTGGTCAGTTTCAGGAACTTCCTGAAGCTATTTTGAATTGTTTGCCTTCCTGCTTAAGGAGCGTGCTTTACGATAGAATGTTTCAATCCTCACTGTTACACAACAGTCTGGTACTCATCTAGGCAAACTGACCTCTTGTAGGAGGCTGGAGATGATTCAGGGGTTAAGACAGTTCAGAGAACACATACTGCTCTTGCAGAAGACCTGAGTTCAGTTCCCAGCACCCATCTCATGGTCCATCTTCTGGACTAATTGGACACCTGCATTCACATATAAATAGACAAAGACCTACCCACATAATTTAAAAAAATAAAAATAATCTTTTTGTAAAATGACTTCATCTACAAATGGGCTTAAGTATAATTTGAATATCTTGAATGGTTCCAGTTAAAGTAAGTCCCTTCAACTTCCAAAGGCTACCTGATGATTTGGGACCAAAGGATGTGTTTAAACTGGAAAGAAATATAAAATTTTGTAATTATTTTTCAACCTTAAGACAGTTTTTAAGTTATGTATTACATCTTTTTTTTAATAAGATTTATTATTTATACAGCACTCTGCCTACACGTGTGCCTGTGCACCAGAAGAGGGCACCAGATCTCATTATAGATGGTTGTGAGCCACCATGTGGTTGCTGAGAATTGAACTCAAGACCTTTAAGGAAGAACAACCAGAGCTCTTAACCTCTGAGCCATCCCTCCAGCCCACCTTAAGACATTTTAATGGTCATTGTTAGCCATAAGATTCAGTCATCTTCTGTGCATTTAGAATGCTTAACTGATTTTTCAACTCCAGATAGTTTTATTTAAAAATGAAGAAAGGAAGGAAGGAAGGAAGGAAGGAAGGAAGGAAGGAAGGAAGGAAGGAAGGAAGGAAGGAAGGGAAAGAAAGAAAAAGAAAGAAAGAAAGAAAGAAAGAAGGAAAGAAGGAAGGAAGGAAGGAAGGAAGGAAAGAAAGAAAGAAAGAAAGAAAGAAAGAAAGAAAGAAAGAAAGAAAGAAAGAAAGAAAGAAAGAAGCTAGCTAAAACCGAAGGTGGGTCTTTTCCTGGCAGGAAAAAAAAATGTATGGGATGGGTAGGAGTCAAGTAACAGAAATTGTTAGCTCTCCATTAAGTAAGTTATCCCTGAAATGGGGGTGGGGAGATTTTAAGGGGAGAAAACAAACTTTCCCTCTAGTGCATCACAGTGAAAGCATCTCCGAGTAAAGAAGAAATAATTCAACTTTGAAATGTTGCCTTTAAGTGGCAGCTCCTGCAAGGGGGACAGTTTCCTATTAATTGTTAATGTCGCCTACCATTAGAGGGCACTAAACAACTCCGCATTAATGCGTTGGAGGGAAGAGAAAAGGAAGCGAGGAAAGGGGAGGGGGAGTACGGGCAGAGTCCGTGGAGAGGGAGGAGAGACAGAAGCTAGGAAGGGCTGGGAAAGAGAAATGAGGGGAGTGGGAGGAGGGCGGAAAAGCCAGAAGAGGAAGGAGACAGACCAACAGGCAGACAGACAGAAACAGACAAAATGAATCTGGAAAGATTAAAAAGGATGTGGAGCCCCAGAGCCGTCTAAAGTGAGCAAAAAGCCGGCTCTCCCGGGCCGCCCGCTCCCCTCCCCTCCCCTCCACTCCTGTCCTCATGACTGTAATTATAAAGCGAAAAGCGGCGGCGAGGTCACCCGTTTTTACCAGCCTGCTGCACCGAAGGCGCGCGGTGCAGGTGCGGCGGCCGGGGGCTTTGTGATTCATGCCCACTTTCAAAGGGGGGCTTGGGCCCGTCTGAGAGGCACCCAAACAACTGTCTTCTAATATTAGCACGGCTGTATTTCGGGATCTATTATAGTCTGTCCAGACAGATCCCATTGTAATGGGACCTTTTATTAAAAGATTAGCACTATCTCCTGCAGTTGGTGGAAAAAAATCTGTTATCACTGAGTTATTTGCAGTTGTGGAGGGGGTGGGAGGAGGGCGATGGAAGATGGGGGTGGGTGGATGAGAGGAGGACCCGAGGAGGGGCGGGAGGAGGCTAGGGGGGGGGGGCGGTTAGAGAAGAAGGGCGAATTTGAAATCCGTAGAACAAATCCCAATGACCTGGGAATGTCCAAGAATTTTGTCTGCATACTTCTGTTGTCGTTCGGGCTTCAGAGGCAAAGAAGAAAAAAAAAAAAAAAAAAAGAAAAAGAAAGAAAGAAAAATTGAAAAGGCAGCTTTGAAATAAACAATATAGCATTTTCCGTGAAGTAATCGTTTTATATAAAAGGAAATATCGCCTCCTCAGTTTCATTCAGCCGTGCCAGAAAATGTTATAAATGAGAAGACCCGCCAACTTTCGGAGAAGAATGCCAGGCACTGCACTCAATAAACTGAGGCTGCAGAAGTTCATTATCATGGTGCATTTTTTTTTTTTTAATATGAGAGAGGGAGAGAGACTCGGGACAGAAACTGGGGCGTCTCGGCGAGGGGGAGGAGGGGGGCAGACCGCCTACGTCGGCGCCCCCGCTCGGGGCTGCGACTCCAGACGCCGGCGAAGTGAAAGGGGAGGAAAGAAAGGGAGAGAGGGCGAGGCTGCCGGGGGCGGCCGGCTCCGAGGTGTTAAACCTTTCCGTTCGCCTCTCGCTAGTGGGGAGCGAGGGCCGCGTCTCCGCAGCGCCCCGGCGGCGGCGGCGGGGAAGGCGTCCGGGGGGTCGGGGTCCCCGGCAGCCGCTCCGGGCCGGGGAGGTGGGGTGGGGAGCGGCTCGGCCGGGTGGCCGCCAAGTGACACGAGAGAGGGAGAGAGACCCCCGCTCCCCGGCCGCGCCCGGGTGGGGTGGGGGGTCCTGCCACCGCTCCCCGGGGCTCGGCGGAGGCTCTGGGGAGGGGGGGACCCCGGCGGCGTCGGTGCCCCGGGTGGGTCCCCGCTCCCGGGGTCGTCGCTCTCCCCGGCCGCCTCCTCCGGCTCCCTGGCTCACACGCGCGCACGCACACCCGCGCGCACACACACACACAGACACACACACATTCGCTCGCTCGCTCGCTCGCTCGCACGCCATCCCGGGCGGGCGGGCGGGCGCGCCGGGCCCCGAGCGGCGGCGTGCAGGAGCGGAGCGGGCGCTCTGCCCCGCTCCCCCCCCCCCGGGGCGCCCCCCCCGGCCCCCGCCCCTGCGGCCTGCCCTCCCCCCCCCCCCTCCCCGCTCTCCTCCCCTCCCCTCCGCCGCTCCCGCCGCTTTGATTCCGGGCACCTCCGACAGATAATTGGGAAGGGTTTCCAGAAGGTGGGAAATGTCACCTGATTCACACTGAACTTTTCAAAGCTCCCCACCCCCAGCGAGCGGGCACACCCTCGGCCGCGGCCGCCCTCCCACAGCCTCGCGCGCCGGGAGACCGCCCACCGCACACCGCGGAGACCCCCGTCTAGATTTAAAGCGCGGCTGCGCCCGGCTCCTGACGTCCATTGAATCGCGCGGGCGGCCGCTGGCGAGCGCGGGGCTGCGCCGGGATCCGCTGCGCCCTCCGCCGCTCGCCTCCGCGACGCGCGCCGCTCGCCCCGGCCACCCGCCGCCGCGCTCCTCGGCCCCGCGCCTGCCCCCACGATGGTCCGCGCCAGGCACCAGCCCGGCGGCCTCTGCCTCCTGCTGCTGCTGCTCTGCCAGTTCATGGAGGACCGCAGCGCCCAGGGTGAGTGCGGGGGGGAAACGCGCCCGGGAGGCTCGGCTGGGGCGCGGAGAGGGGGGGGTCCTACTTTTCGGGCGTCTTGTCCCGGTCCGTCCTGATCGACGCTGCTCCCCCCCCGGAGATGTGGGGACCACTCTGGAAGGGAGGGATGGGAGGAAGAGGCTGAAGGCGGTGACACTTGAGGACGGAGAGCGGAGTTTAGAGCGGGGTTAGCCCTCCGAAGGGAAAAGGGCGTGAGTGGTTGAACTGGAACCTCAGGAGTTTGGGGCAGATGCTCCAAGTTCTGGTCCTAATGGCTTTAGATGTTCTCTCCCCTGCTCGGACTCCCGGAGAAGGGTGAGCATCCGTAGCCTGGAGACTGCAGTCGACCTACTCGCGGTCTATATACCCTATCTTTTCTTCCATAGCTTTTGGTGACTTTAAAAAAAAAAAAAAAAAATGACTTGGGGTGGGGGATGGGAGATGCCGAATTTTCTTGGGTGGCTGGGGGGGACGTGGTTTCAGAAACTTTGCCCAAACTTGGAAATCTGGGTCCTGAAATTTTCAGAGGGAGGTAGTTTTACGCTCGGTGGATGTCCTTGCCACCCGTCTCCCCGAGCCCCGCCAAAGAGAAGAAAGACAAGCCAAATTATTAGCTCGAAGTGTTTCAAGAACTTTACAGTTTCCTCCACTCCGTCTCGCGCCTCTGTTAACTTTCTGTGGAACAATAAGCAGCCCACAAGCGGCTTAGGTTGTGGCGTGGGTTAAAGAGCAAATTTGTGAAGTTTATCTTCCTAAAATTAAAAAAATGGATCTATCTTATCACAGTTGATCCCCGGGCAGGATTTTTTTTCTTTCTTTTTTAAACAGTGGTTACCGCGCAGCTTGCGCTCCTGTTGCTGGAGTCGCTTTGGTGACATCTTCTTCCCCAGAGTCCGAACACTTAAGAGCGAGCCGGGAGGGCAGAAACTATTTGCACAAGGGTTCTCGGGAGACGTTAGGTTAGGGGTGTGCGACCCGGGGGACGCCTCCCTCCCCACCCCCCCTTTATGGCTGCTGGTTCTGTGCTGTGAGCTGGACACCCGGGCTGGGCAGCCCGCCTTTCTGAGAGGGGCTCAGCCTGGGTGCCGGGACGTGGGCGCCGTGGAGAGCAGCCCTCGGAGATTTCGAAAGATCGCGGTGGCTGCGGGCGTGCTCCGGGCTGGCCGATTGCAAAACGAGCCCGTCGGGCGGGCTGCGCCCCGAGGCCGCTCAGGGCAGAGCCAGGCTGGGCCCGGCTGCCTTTTTTTTTTTTTTTTTTTTTTTCCCTTCTTTGCTTTCATTTTTCACAAGTGTCTTTTGCTTGATCTGGTCCTGAAGATTTCATAGTCATTCTCCCTGCCCCCCCCTCTCCCCTTCGCTCCCTCCTTCCCTCCCTTCCACGTCTCCCCTCTCTACTTTCTTAACCCCTGTCACAAATAATTCCTTTACCGCCTACATGAAACCAACATGTAAAAACATCCGTCGCATCCTGTTTTTGTCAGGTCCTTTAATCTGGTCTTCCCGTCGCTGCAGGTTATGAAATGGGACGAATAAAAAGTAAACAGTCTAGTAAAAGTCAATGCGGGCTGCACGTGCTGTCTGGGTCACTGGTAACTGACATTGATATGGCTGCGGCTGCCGGAGCCCACCTCCCAACTCCGGGACGGCGCTCTCCCCAGCCTCCCCCCCTCTCTCTCCCCCCTCCTTCCCTCCCTCTCTCCCCCACCTCGCTCGCTCGCTCGCTCCCCAGCCCCTCCAGTCCTCCCTTCCCGATGCTAGCGGCCTCCCCCTCCCCTACCCCACTGCTCCCTCATTCACCTCTTGATCCCTGTCTCCCTCACAGCTGGGAATTGCTGGCTCCGCCAAGCCAAGAACGGCCGCTGCCAGGTTCTCTACAAGACAGAGCTGAGCAAGGAGGAGTGCTGCAGCACCGGCCGTCTGAGCACCTCGTGGACCGAGGAGGACGTGAACGACAACACCCTCTTCAAGTGGATGATTTTCAACGGGGGCGCCCCCAACTGCATCCCCTGTAAAGGTAGGCCTCCCCCTCCTCCCCCTCCTCCTTCCCCCTAGGCGGCGGTCCCTCAGTAGAGGGCGTCTTGCCCTCAGCGTTCAACCGCTGTCTGGCTGGGGCTGAGGACTGGCAAGAGTTTTGTCCGGTTCCTTCATTCCGCTCCCGGGCCCCCCACCCCACCCCCACCCCGGTGGAGTTAGCTAGGTGGAATCCCGGCTCGCGCCGTGGGCAAAGCAAGGTCGCAAAGGGGCACGTAACGAAAGAGAGAAGCTGTAGCTGCAGAACACTGGCCTGAGGTCCTCAACCCCCATCCCTCCCAGGCTTCCAGGAGACAGCCTGGGGCCCTCCCGTCGCGGGTGCGCGATTGCGCAAGGCCTCTGAGACCACCACCCCACCCTTGCCTGACCCGCCAAAAAAAAAAAAAACGCCTTGCCTTGGTTTGAACCCGTGCCTCTTTCCAACTCCTAGAAACGTGTGAGAACGTGGACTGCGGACCAGGAAAAAAATGCCGAATGAACAAGAAGAACAAACCCCGCTGTGTCTGTGCCCCAGACTGTTCCAACATCACCTGGAAGGGGCCAGTGTGTGGGCTGGATGGGAAAACCTACCGGAACGAATGTGCACTCCTCAAGGCCAGGTGTAAAGAGCAGCCGGAACTGGAAGTCCAGTACCAGGGCAAATGTAAAAGTAGGTCCCGACCCCTAAGCGTCTCAAAGACCTTTAAAGACCCTTAAAGACTCGGGGCGGGGGGTGGTACAAAATGCATATAGAGCCCGGGAATGAGAATAGTGATACCAAATAGTTAGAAGGGCCCTTCTAACTCCTTAGGGGTAATGAAGGAAGGAGCCAGCCTGGGGTCACAGATCCTCTGGGAAATAGTGGGGCTCCCCAAGTGCCTGTTAAAATCTGGATATTTCCCTTTAGTGATTTCCTTCATAATTTCGACTGCTTACTCTCTAAGGACCAGAAAGGACCGATTGAAATGTCTCCCCCCCCCCTTTTTTTTGTTTTTTTTTTTTGTTTTTTTTTTTTTGTTTGTTTTCCAGAGACCTGCCGGGATGTTTTCTGTCCAGGCAGCTCCACCTGTGTAGTGGACCAGACCAATAACGCGTACTGCGTGACCTGTAACCGCATTTGCCCTGAGCCCTCCTCTTCTGAACAGTACCTGTGTGGGAACGATGGAATCACTTACTCCAGCGCCTGCCATCTGAGAAAGGCCACCTGCCTGCTGGGCCGATCCATTGGACTGGCCTATGAGGGAAAGTGTATCAGTAGGTATTCTGAATTGAGGAAAGAAAAAGAGATGAGAGAGTAAAAATAATAACAATAGTAATTAATTTTTAAAAATCTGTGCAAACGGTGTGGGGCTGATCGATGAGTAGATCCAGGTCCTCCCCAGCTTAACTGGAGCCTTCCTCCCGAAGGACCCCTGTCTTCCAGGCGCATTGACACACCTTTGAGAAGCAGCAGTTTTCTATCTTAAAAAAACTTAGAGCTCACACAATTTTACACATTTTTTTTAAAGTGCCAGACTTGCTGGAAGCAAAGAAATAATTACTTTAACAGTTCCTAAAACCTGTTATCAGATTCCAGTAATTGATGGAATTTGATTTTTTTTTTTTAAATCCCATTTGTAGGAAGTAATCCAATGCATAGTTAACTCCGGGATATTGTGAAGTTCTGTCCCAATGAATATTATTTTTAATACAGTTCTATAAGATGTAAGAAACCATGGGGTGTGTGTGATTGTAAAGCGGTTTTCTATAACACCACCATTATCCCATTATATAAATATGTATATATATACATTATATATAATATGTATATATATATTATATACACATAATGTATATCTATGACTAGAGAATGGAAGAAAGGAAGACACTCAGTTTGCTCATCACTGGTGTATTATATCCTAGAAGCAAAGTCCTGTGAAGACATCCAGTGTGGTGGTGGAAAAAAATGCCTATGGGATTTCAAAGTTGGCAGAGGTCGTTGCTCCCTCTGTGATGAGCTGTGCCCTGACAGTAAGTCGGATGAGCCAGTCTGTGCCAGTGACAATGCCACTTATGCCAGCGAGTGTGCCATGAAGGAAGCTGCCTGCTCCTCTGGCGTGTTGCTCGAAGTCAAGCACTCCGGATCTTGCAACTGTAAGTGTGATTTTTAACCTTGCTGCAGTTTAAGGCATTTCCAGGCAAGCCCTGGTGAATGAACAGTTTTAAAAAACAAAAAGCACACAGACCTCGCTGTGTAAACCTGTTTCTGTTAAAACTAGGTAGCTGCTAAATTCCACCAGCAATTCACTGATTCCTCAGCCAAATTCTCTGCAGTGTTCCCTGGCTTTTAGGATCTTTGGTGGCCGTCCACTGGGTGGCCACTGAAAATCTCTCCAGTTGTTTGACACTCAGTCTTTACTTCTAGTCCTTTGCTTTGCTGTTGCCTCATTAACACTGGAATCTAAAGTAACTGCTTCAAAAGTTTGTGGGGGTTTTTGTTTTGTTTTGTTTTCAAAGACAGCTTTCTATTACCACACTGGGGCTGTGGCTTATCGCAGGTACCACTACTAACTCTGAATTAAGGAGCCAAAGCAGTTATACCTAGAACACAAGAGCGCTTTTTATCTGATTTCAGGAATCTGCCTGTAAAACCTGAGCCATTGATTCTTCAGAACTTTCTGCAATTTTGACTTCATAGATTATGGTGGTTTGTTTTGTTTTGTTTTTAAAGTAAACTTATTGCATAACTGCAGATGCCAAAAAAAACAAACAAACAAACAAACAGCATCACACTGCAAGTCATGTAAAAATGCAACGCTGTAATGTGGCTGTATCAGAGGGCTTTGAAAAACATACACTGAGCTGCTTCTGCGCTGTTGTTATCCGTGTTTAAACAACAGCTCCCCCTGTATTCCCCCATCTAGCCATCTCGGAAGATACGGAGGAAGAGGAGGAGGAGGAAGACCAGGACTACAGCTTTCCTATCTCTTCCATTCTAGAGTGGTAAACTCTCCACCAAGTGTTCAGTGTTGACATAGCCTTTGGGCAAAACAAAACACAGCAAAAGAAAAAAAAAAAAAAAGAAAAGAAAAGAAAGAAAAAAAAGATACAAAAGAAAAATAAGAAAAAGAAAAATATATTGTCCATAATGTAAATAAGTGTATGCTTATTTATTTGGGGGGAAACTATACATTAAAGGACCTTTGTCCTAACGCTCTCTCCCAGGCCACACTGTTACTCACTGGGCATGGAGAGATGGTCATTTTGTGGTCTACTGGATGAGGCCTATAGTTGAGACTTGTAGAAGTTTATTTATACTGTGTCATGTTTTATAATTTATACATAAAATGTCTGGTTGACTGTTCACCTTGTTTTTGAAGAAATTTATTCGTGAAAGGAAGAGCAGTTGTTATTTATTGTGAGGTCTCTTGCTTGTAAAGTAAAACCGTTTTCTTCCCCCCTTGTAAACCATATAAGTCCATTCCTTACTATCCACTCACTCATCTGTCTCCCTTCATTTCACTGCTGTTAGATTCTTTTCCACTTTTTAACAAATTTGCATGTCAGTTTCTGTCATGTTTATTTATTGGATTCTTGGCTGCCTGATCTGTACATACCTGATCTCTCGGGTTTTGTTTACAAGGAATCTTGACTGACCAAAAGGCATTGTAACTCTGCCCCAAGGTACAGAGAATAAGGTACAGAGAATAAGCCTCTTGAGGAAATGTCCGCTTCCATTCCCTTGTTCTGATGAAAACATTGTGAGAGAGGGTGTGAGAGGCATTAAAATTCTAGAAGTGTACTTTCGTGATGTTACAGATCCAAAGACATAGAATGATGTAGGTGTCAGGAGACTAAAGGAAGGTGAAAGTTACACCTTCAGCCTGTCATTCGGTGTCTCCTTTGAGCTAGTCGGCTGTACCTTTTCAATTAGTTCTTTTTCAACCAATGTGTCACTAAAAAGTTCCATCGAAGCTTTATCAGTTCAAGTTTCTTGCTTTTCATAATACTTTTTTCTGATGCAATTTTATATTTTCAAACATGGCAAGTTAAATATAAATTCATTTAAATATATAGTTTTGTACTTTTCTACCATGTAAATGTGCAATGTATATAAAAGTTATAATGTGTATTTGTAAATAAATGATGAGTGAAAAAATAAAAAAAATTTTAAAAGCCAATTGTCTCGGTTCCCGGTGATGAAAACTAACCTCTTTTGGCTTTCGAGTGAAAACACACATACCTGTGTGTGTGTGGTGAGGGCAGAAGATGCTACAAAGTGAGGGTAAGATACATGTCACCACAGGGCAGTAACGGTGGCTCAAGGGGTTAAGAGCGTGTACTCCATCTACTTCCAGAGAATCCAAGCTGGGTTTCTACAACCTGTAACCGGTGGCTCATGGCCACCTGGTAACTAGTTCCAAGGGCTCCCATGTCCCCTTCTGGCCTCTTGAGGGAACCTGCACTTATATGTGTATATATACACACACACACACATTTTAAAAATAATAAAATAGATCTTTCTTTTAAAGTTACAAATTGGGGCCAGAGAGATGGCTCCTCACTGCTCCTGGAAGTCAGGATTGCTTCTCGGCACCTGCATGGAGTTTTACAACTCTGTTACTTCAGTTCTCCGGGATCTGTCCCCAGGCGTACACATAGTACACACATACATGCAGGGACAAACTAACATAAAAAGAATTTTTAGATTTGTTTTATTTCCATGGGTGTGATTACGCCTGGAGTTATAGATGGTTATGAGCTGCCATGTGAGTTCTGGGAACCAAACCCTGGTACTCTGGAAGAGCAGCAAGTGCTCTTAACTGCTGAGCTATCTCTCCAGTGGAGCTTGAAAATGAAGTGGCTCAGATCCAGCGATTCCTGCAGGACAGGCACGTGTCAATAGCCACAGACACAAACATGACAGATGGGACTTCCTTCCTGAAACATCTGTATTTCAGTGTCCCTGGGAACACTTTATTACCGGCCCTAGCTGTCTTGTCATAGCCATGGGCCTGCTCTAGCCTACTGAACTCATCTAGAAAAGCATATTTCCTGTTGTCTAAAAGGCAACACGCGCTGGTGCTGGGGAGTTTACTCAGTGGTTAGAAAGCACTTGATGCTCTCCCAGAGGACCAGAGTGCAATTCTCAGCACTCACATCAGGCAGTACACAGCTGCCTATTGCTCTAGGTCCAAGGGATGCTGATGCTCTCTTCTAGCTTCAGTGGACACCTGCATGCATGTGTGCAAGCCCAAGGACACACAAACACACATACATAAAAATAAAATTGTCTTTAAAACTAAAAAGGCAATCATACATCACAAGGAACAGTAGAAACAGACTGATACATATTGGACAAGCACAGGCAACAATTCAGTATCAAGTACTAGCCTGGACAGTACGGTGATGGACTACTGGTAAGATGAGCGTGGAAGGGGAGGCGACTTCCCCTTCCACATCTGTGATTCACACTGAACCATGACACTCAAGGGAGGAGAAAACCTGTCTACATTTTGTAGGTTTGTGATACATGGAAGAGCATCAGAAACAGTGGTCCCTGAATATATATACCAATACAGAAATCATCAACACAGGTTTCCAGTTCACTGTGTGCTTCATTGTCAAAACCTAAACATGTTCAGAATGTCAATGGACTGCAAGCTGAAAAAAAGTGGACAAAATGAGGAGGGAAAGTGCCAGTGTTGAGCATGTATGGTTCTGTTGTTGTTTTTGTTTGTTTTTTAAGACAAGGTTTCTCTGTGTAGCCTGGGCTGTCCTGAATCCACTTTGTAGACCAGGCTGCCCTCAAACTCACAGAGATCCGACTGCCTCTGCCTTCCTGAGTGCTGGGATTAAAGACATGTGCCACCACACCAGGCTCATGCATGTTCTTTCAAAGACCAAGGTCCTAGTGGTTGCATTTATCCCTTTTTGTTTTGAATGATTACTAAAAATTACCCTCAGAATCCATTGACTCTCAACTAGCCACAAAAGGGGAAATTAGGTGAAAGCAAGGGTAGGTGGGCATTTATTTAATGCTCAGGAGCCTGGAGAATTTTGTCCCCCAGATTCCCAGGAAAGCAAGACATGGAGGTGCAGAAATCTAACCAGCTGCCATTGACCACAAGAAGGAAATGGTCATAACTTCTCCAGAGCAGACAAGCTTCTGGCTTCCACTAGGGAGAGCCTCTCTGAAGGAAAGAGGACTGACCAGATCCAGTTTCATGGCCCCTTCTGAAGTGGGTTTGTGGCTTCGTCCTGGGATGCTACAGAAGCTTTGAAGCTGCCATTGACAGTCAGGGTAAAAACATCAGACTCAACAGGCGCTAGTGTGTGCCTTGGCAAGCAGAGGTGATAAATCCAACAGCTTGCCTTTTAAGCAACATCCAGGTTATTTATTTAAAATTATATTCTATATCTGTCACCATCAAACATGACTCTTTAAAAAAAAAAAGCTTTATCTCACGTTCCTTCTCAGAGTTTCATAGTTTACAGTAATCTTACACTAGCTTAATTAGCATCTCTCTCCCCAACCAAAAAAAAAAAAAGAAAATAGAAGAAAAGAAGTCTCTAGGAGACTGCCCTACCACTGAGCTACATTCACAACGCTACAAATTTATTTTAAAATTAAAGATTAATACTATTATTACTGGAATTCCCAATATGCCTGAAAAAAATACTTAAGTAAAAAAATTATCTAATAAAGTGTTAAGAGAAACAGTTGCTAGTAACTAATTTTAATATTAGTATGACTACATCCTAATCCTTTGTAATTGCAAAATATGAAATGATAACAAAAAACCAGTCAAAAGCCCAATTTCTGTCAAATGTCACTCAAATTTAGACTTTCATATAATATATGGAATATGGTTTCTCAAGCACAACAAAAAATTAAATACAATTTAATTGAATCCACCCTCAAACAAGACAACTAAAAGGACCTAACACTTTGTACCTGAGAGGAAGATGGTTTAAGGCACACTGGGTTAATTCACAGACTCAATATTCTCCGTGAAAAGAGCTGTACCCATGTTAAATGTGCCAAAACTGATGACTGTACTGTAATTATGTGAAAGAATAGGCCTACAGTCAGGAAATACAGAAGTACTTAGGAAGAAAAGAGCAAAATACACTTATAATCTTTAAGTGGCTTTAAAAGTATTCTATGTTTTATCACAGTCTTCATGTCTGATGTACGGAAAGACAGTATGAAGAGAGCATGTTGCCAACAAACCCGACTCAGGAAAAGACCTGTAGGAATTTTTAGTACTATCATTTTTGGTAAATTTCCCGTAAGTTTGAAAATATACCCAAATTAGAACTTAAAACTCATTAAAAAACCGTTCTCAGGAAGGAAAGGTGCACAGCAGACATCCATCTCCAAGGAAGCAAGTGAAATACACAGCCATTTTAGAAACTCATGGCGGCCAACACTGAGGCGGCCCAGTGGGCTCAGGAACTTGCAGCCAACCCTAAGGATATGAGTTTGATCCCCTGGGATTAGCTTGGTGAAGAAGAGCACTGACTCTGAAAAGTTGCCCTCTTAATCACTGCACTCAAGCACCGTGTGACAAAGGAGAACCCACACACATAAACACATGGACAAGATGAATAAATAAATGTAATAAAAAGTAAAGGTTTGGGCTGGAGAGCTAGCTCAGCAGTTACGAGCACTAACTGCTCTTCCAGAAGACCCGGGTTCAATTCCCAGGATCCATATGGCAACTCTAAACTGTATGTAACACTAGGATTTCACACCCTCACATAGACATGCAGGCAGGCAAAACACAGTGCACATAGGATAAAAATAAGTTAATTATTTTTAAAAACCTAAAAATATTATTTGGTATGATAAAAAGCCTGGAGAACAATTCCAATGAGTCAGTAATTCAACTTAAATAATTAATATTGGGAATAAGAGAATTTCTGAAAAATAGTTGTACCCAAATGAAGAATCAGCCTTTTCTTAAGAACTGAGAATAAAATGCTCAAAACACCCAGCATTGCTGTTCTCCCCAGTGTTTGCCATACAAAGGACCAACTCATTTCAACTTTCTGGGTCTCAGTTTCGTTATCTCTGAAATCAGGATAGTGAATGTGCGCATCTCACGATAATGTTGTGAGACCCAAGAGACTCTCGATGTTTATCATAAAGTGTTTATTTCAGTGGCTGGCACCCCAGACCGATAGTATATAAGTTTCCTTCCTTAGTATAAAGATTACTATTAATTAAAAGGAAAAATTGCTATTGTGATTTATTACCCAATAGTAATAATAAATGAGAAATGATACCAAATGAGACCTGAAGTAGGAACATAAGTGATTTTTGAAGGGAGGGTAAATATAATTTAAAGTATTTTATCCGTGTTGGTATTTAACAGAACTAAACAATCCTGAGCACTATAGCAAAAGTGTCCTATTTTAAAAATAATACTTAGATATTATAGACATAGTTCTCATTAAATTTTATCAAAATTTAACTTTTTATAAAATATTAACTTCTCCAAAACCCAAAATGTGCCTTGTTTCTTTTCATTCACACACTCAGCTTAGTTCCTGCTGGCAAAATAAACAAAATCAATGTTCTTTCATTTTGGTGCAGATTTCTGTATCGAGCTACGGATCACTAAAGAGGGTGATAGAGCAAACAGCCTACAAGCTATCCAATATGCTAATATAAACTACGCAATTGTCAGGTTAGAAGGAAGCCTGTTGACTAATGAAACTTTTTTTTTTTTTTTATTAAAGGAGATTTTCCAAAACCTGGTTTCCAAGATAGACACATTTCTGCTCGACCCATCCTACTTTCCATTCGCAGCACAACACAAACGTACCTCAGCCAGAAGTTGTTATGTAAATAGACTGCAGGCATGCTTGCCCTGTGTATCAGCAGACCTGCCCAGACATGTCCAAATCCCAGCTTCTATTTTGCTGGAATCCCCCCCCATGAGTACTGGATGGTCACTGGGGTTTGCCATCCTCAGATATCTTGGCTGGTACCATCAAGATTCCTGTGGCAGAGTCCTTCAGACACTTAAAAACATATTCTCTGGATTAGAACAAATGTCGTCCTGGCAAAGCTAAAC